CCCACAGGTTTCCACTTGAACATTAATAAATGTTGAGGCTAAAAAAAAGTGTTACAGTAGAGTCATTGTGTCTTAAGTCCTGGTTTCCAGGAATAATCCAGAAAAAAACTTTAAAAAATAAACATATATATCCTGGATTCCAGGATCACTCCCAGCCACCACCATGCCAGGGTTTTAAACCCACTTTGTCCTGGCAGGCTTTAACTAGCAGGCTACCATCCTGGCAGCCAGGACACCACCTACACAGGGTGCCACCTACATGCACAGTTGTTGTTCCTTATCACCTCCAACTGACTCCCATTATCTTGCCAAATGGGACTCACTATCATCCCCTCCAGCCTCACTATCTCCTGTACCCGCCAGCCTCACTATCTCCAACCTCATTATCTTGCCAAATCTGTGACAGCTGTGACTCACTATCCCCTCCAGCCTCACTATCTACTGTCTCCTCCAGCCTCACTATCTCCTATCCCCTCCAGCCTCACTATCTCCAACCTCATTATCAACTGTGACTCACTATCCCATCTCATCACTATCTCCTGTCTCCTCCAATGGTGCCAGCCTCACTATCTCCCCTCCCATCCAGCCTCACTATCTCCAACCTCATTATCTTGCCAAATGGGGACCCCTCCAGCCTCACTACCTCCTGTCCCCTCCAGCCTCCCTCAACCTCATTATCTTGCCAAATGGGACCATATCCCCTCATCTAGCCTCACTATCTCCTACTACTACCCCCTCCAGCCTCACTATCACCTGTCCCCTCACTCACTATCTCCAACCTCATTATCTTGCAAATTGGGACCTGACCCCTCCAGCCTCACTACCTCCTGTCCCCTCCAGCCTCAGTATCTCCAACAATCGATTCAGAATCAACCTCAACTAATATCCCCTAGCCTCACTATCTCCTACTACCCCCATCCAGCCTCACTATCTCCAACCTCATGGCCTCACTTCCAGGGGAAATATTACAATGTGTTTGAGTCGATCTTCACCTTGATAGTGACTATTCGGTCTCAACTAGGTAGTGAGCCTCATTTTCCCCAAACAAGCTCATTGTCATGATAGGTCACTGCATTATCTCTGCCAAGTTTGCTGGGGATAATGCAATGGCAGAATTGGCCCCTATGCTACCAGACCTTGCTTCACTATTGGGTCTCAACCAGGTAGTGAGCCTCATTTCCCAAACAGCCTCATTATGGCACTGCATTATCTCTGTCAAGTTTGTTGGGGATAATGCAATGGCAGAATTGGCCCCTATGCTACCAGACCTTGCCTCACTATTGGGTCTCAACCAGGTAGTGAGCCTCATTTTCACCCTGAACTAGTGAGCAATTATAGGCAAGTTTCTTGGTGATATTACAATGAGCTACTATTATTTTTTGGTGAAAAATGTCTTAAATTCATAATCTGCCAAAGTCTGACTGGATTTTAACTGAAGGTTGCTGTGGTTGAAAGGGCCCCCCCTATCTACCAAAGGTATGATCAACTTGGGGCCCCTAACATTGTAAGTGTTATCAAATTAGGCTAGCTTCCATTGTTAGTACCCCCCCCAGGGGCATCTGACTCTGGTAGAAAGGGGCCCCCCTATCTACCAGACATACACTCTTGAATTTGTTCCCCATCTTCTGGTTGATTTGGGCACGAAGGTCCATAATGGCCAATTCCAGGGAGATCCTTGTCAATATGATTCGGGAGATTCATGCCCAAGACGAATCCAAGCACTTCCAGCAAGTTCTTCAGGATAAGTATAAGACACTGCACTCCTACAAGGATTACCTGGAGAACATCAAAGGTGAAGTCATGGCCCATGGCCATGTGCTCCAGACGGCCATTGTTGATGTTCCAACCCCAAGCACGCAGATTTCTGAGCATTGGGTGGATTGTTGGCAGCTGGGCTTTTCCGATTCAGCTGGCTATCGTGGCAAACCCAAGCAGGTCTCCATTGTTGAGTTGGCCATCAACTTTGTGGAGGACAGTTTTCAAAGTGTGCGACAGCCATTGAGTGTGAGCTTTGACTCGTCCACTGGCCCTGTGGGTATGTTCAGCATCAAGCATGTTGTTGGATTCACACGGTCACTGGCTGCAAAGATGGTGCTGGAGTTTTGGTCACAGCTCAATGAGACTCAGCAGAAGGACTTGTCTCATGTGTTTGCATCCTGCCTCACGATCAAAGTGACCTGGCAAGTTGCAGCCAATGCAGAGTCAGAGTTCTTTGGCTCTGTGCGAGGCAAGTTTCAGCTGTCCGAGAGCACTAGGCCAGACGTGATTCAACTGTATCATGGTTGGCAAGGCCTCTTTGCAAAGATGGGAATGGAGTTCAATGCATGCATCTCTGACCAAATCAAGAAGTTCAACCAAACAAGCTCAGTGGCTGGTTCTCGTGTGAGTGATCTGGAGGCACAAATCTTGAAGGTTTTGCCATTCCAGCTCAAGTCATTTGTGGACCTGTTGGAATCTCATTGGGATCGGTTCAAAAGCCCTGAATCTGCTGTCACGCTGAAAAGCTTGTGTGAAAAGGTTGATCGCAAGGCACCACCTACAGAGAATGCAGCCTGGGGCTCCATTCTGAAGGCGACGCCCGAGAAGAATTTCATTTGGCTCCAGCGGCAGATTGAGATCTTTAACCAGAATCAGCGCCAGATGGCTGGAAACACAAAGAAGAAAGGATCTCTGGCCTTTCGGGCAGCACCTTGTCATTAATAGGTATGATTTTTGGAAGGCACAAAGCATGGTTATGTATGTGTGGAACTGATTTCATACTCAGTACTACCCAGTTCTAAGTTCACTGTAATCTGAGGCAAAAAATGAGGGACAGCTTGCAGGAGAGCTTCGATGTTTGCTGCTTGTGGCAATCCTATGAGGCAGACTTCCAGAAGACCTTGAGCGTTGCAGACTTTGATAAAGCCAAATCCTGCTTCTTGAAGGGTATTTGGGACAAAGAGTTCGTTGAGAAGGTGAAAACGCAATCAGATGAGATCTCCATGGAGTCATTTCGCTGGCTCCAGCAATTCATTGGAGTGCACAGCACAGTCTTGAGTGTTGAGGAGAGATCAGTGCAAGCTGAACTTGAGCTGGAAAAAGCAAAGTACAAGGCCATGTGTCTCAAGCTTGAGGGTGAGCAGGGAAAATTTCAGAGCTTTGTTCGACAGCTTTCAGATTGGAAGGCATCCCATGCAGCAAGCAGGAGGACGCACTTGCTTGGTGAGAAGGCGAAGTTTGAAGAGGCTTGCCAGACTATGCAGTCAGCTTCCCTCCCAGTGAGTGTGCTGGAAAGTGGCTTTGTAGTGACACAGTCCTTGAAGTCCTATGAAGAGTTCTCCCAGCCACGTGCATACCACGTTCTGCTGTGCGACTTGACGAAGCTGGGCACAGGATGGTCCAAGCATATCAATGACATTGTCACCAAGGTCTCTGCATGTGTGGCACCCAATAAAGATGCTTGCTGCCTCATGATTGCCCCCCAACAGGGCCCGGTGGGGAGAATCTGACAGTGAGGAAAAGATCTCTGAGTCAGTTCATGATGTTGAAGCAACATTGAAAGCTGAGAGCGCACATCTGATATGCAGAAGGATTCAGATCATCTTCTCTGAGGAGAGCCTTCAGCAACATTCCACACGGGCAGCCACCCATGATGCTTGGATGATTTTGCCAAATACGGAGTCCGAGTTCAGCAGCAGTGCTCTTTGGGTCCGTCGAGCTGCTCAAGATTGTCAGGCAAGGCCAACAGGTGAGATGACCAACCAGAGTGTTGGACACATCACACTGAACTTGTCAAAGCCTCAGCGTATGAAGCAGGCAATGTCGGGTGCTGCCCTTTGGCAGAGCATCTTCACAAAACTGCTGAGCGGCATGAAAACTACAATCCCAGTCTTCATCACTGACCTGCTCCCCTATGACAGCTCTGTGGTGGAAGCAATGCTGCTTCGAAAAGCCCAATCAAAACAGAACTTCAAGGTTTTGAGCATCATCTGGGCAACTGAGAGCACCAAAGATGCTCAAGCTGTGGCAGAGAAGAGACAAATCTACAAATTCTTGGTCCCCCTGTTCTGGCGTCAGATTGGCAAGATGCATGAGAGCAAGGTTCTTGCGCTGGATGGCTTCAAGAAGGCTGAGCTCAAGCAAGATAGCATCATGCCAAGCCTCAACGAAGGTGACTTTGAAATGACATGCCCAATGCCATCCGGTGATAGCTTCTTGCTGCCTTTCAGGCAGTCATTCCTGGACACAGTGACATTGACAAGGTGGGCTGTTGGGTCTTTTTTAATAACAAAAATATGTGTATATATATATATTTATGTTCCCACTGCACCTGTGTTGAATGGTTTGTTTCAGCATGCTTGTTATCCATTGCATCATTCTGAAGAAACACCGCAGGTTGGTTGATGACTTTGCGAAGCTTCAAGCAGACCACAACAATAAGTTCAACAACAAAGGCACCGAGACCTACAAGGCGAAGAAGAGAAATATTGAGACGCCAGATGTGCAGCCTGTGCGAATCGAGGCATGCAGTGATGTGGATGGCAAGGTGGTGTCAGAGAATGCAGACTACTGCCTGATGATTCACAAGGATGGACTGTACATCAAAGGCAAGATCGATTGCACAGCAGCATGTGGCCCCCCTGGTCTTGGCCTATGGTGAGTACCACACAGATGGAAAGGAGCATAAGAACAGCTTGAAGTTCCAGATGAATGACACAAAGTTTACCGGCTGGTTCATGAAGGATGAGGTGGAGGGAAAGATGACCTTGGAGGATTTCTTGAAGCAGATGGAGAATGACAAGGTTGTCAAACCCTTCATTGCTGCTCATGAGTTGGAGTATGATGGCACTGGGTCTGTTGCTGTGAAGGCTACGGAGGAATGTGTCTTTGAAATCAAGAAGCTGGCGGCCAATATGGAGGTGACCAGTCAAAATGCTTTGAGTCAGCTCACGAGCAACATCAAGTTTGACACCTTCGAGTATGGTGATGGCAAGTTGGCCAGCGTGATGATGAGGCTGAAATTCATTGAGCAGTCCAGCAGCCCAGCTGGGATTTACCCCCAGAAACCAGGGCTGTTTTTGAAAGCGCCTTTGGAAATCAAGCAAGGCAAGACTTACAAGATTGGGTAGAATGGGGCAAACAAGATTCCAAGAATGATGTATTTTCACACGGTATATATTTGTAAACTCAATTTCACTTTATATTGAAAAAAACCTTTTGTGTTCAGTTTGCATTGTCCTGGTATCCAGGACTTTTGGTTGTAACATGTTGTTTTGTGTGTGAGTTATCCTGGCTACCAGGATTTTTGGTAGCATGTTGCCCCATTCTGGGACAGGCCAGGCCCAGGTTTTGTGGCAGGCTGCTCCTGGCTCTGTCAGATCTTCATGTTTGTGGCCAAGGGAATGGCCCACGGCCCAGGTTTTGGATTTGGATCGTCGTTCATGCCTCTTAGTAGGCTGCAGCAGGGATAGCCTTGTTGCACTGAGAGGTGCCAATCTATCATGTCTCATAGGCTGCAGCAGGGGAAGCCTTGTTGCACTGAGATGTGCCAATCTAGCATCCGACTCTTGCTCAGTCAGGCAAAAGTCATTGCAGTATGTTATGGCATGGGGTGCTTCAGGTTCAGATTTTACTCTGATTGAGTGGTGTCATTATGCTGGAATTCTGACGGATTCTTATGCTACAGTTTTGCATT